CCTTTGACATGGCGCTCGTGTTGTGCGATCTCTCACTAGAAATGGTGGGGGCGACCCCTGATTAACGGCAGCCTGAATTCCGTCTGTTATGTTTTATTTCTGGAAAACGAGGCGCAGCCTGAATTATGAAGTACACTAATTTGTGTTTTGTAGCTCGGTGGTCTCAACTCTGGCAAGACATTAGAACTCTGCAAGACCTGCAGAACTTTAGGAAATACTAAATGCTAAATGACTTGTTTCAAATTAAAATCAGACTAGCTCAGTTTGGAGCCTGGCATCCACATTCTTAAAAATCATTGCAGGCAAGTGGAATGGGCAGTGGGGGTTGGAAACAAGTGAGCGGGCAGCTGGAGAGACCATGAAGGAGGGTTTTGCACCTGCTACTAGTCCTGCTGGTCAGTTAGTAGTATAACTAGAGCCGCTAGCAAACGGACTAGCTGCTTCCTGTATGCAGATAGTGCTCTAAGCATTTTTCATAGAATGAAATCATCCTTGCCCACTCCTCGTAATAACTCAGAAGCTTCTTTCATTTTAATAGATGTGCACATGGACAGCTTTGAGGAGACAAAGCAATTTATTCAGAGTTGAACGAAGCTTGTTGGGGATAGTCTCTATTATAAAGTGAGATGAAGCCCGTTTCTGTAGGTATACATTGTATGTGGCTGTTCGTATCATTTGTCTAATCATGGAGGACTTGGATTGCTCCTGTACGGTCAACGTGCCTTGGCTCTGCCCACTGAAATCCAGCTATAAGATTATAACCAGTCAGGCATCTTCAGATTCCCGATCACAACTGCTGGCCTCCTAATTTTTAGGATTAGACTTCACATGAGTTTTCTAAAATGCTTCTTTGCTGCAAATAGTTTGTATGATGGCAGAAGTAGGTAGACATTGATGGCATACAGCCCTGCAAAGACTCTGGCCATACATATATGCTTTAGTAAGTGTGCAAATTGTAACTCCCATGTACTTAGGTTTAACACCTTTGCACATTTGTGCACAATCTCCCATGTTATATTTACTACCTCCCAGGGAGGTCTCCATCATGAAGGGCTAGATGCATAGGGTGAGATTTAGAACGTGTTGTAATTTAGCTGGTTGCAAAGTCTCAGATCACCTGCTTTCTAGTCAGGACATTAAAGAAACCATTAAACCGTGAGGATTTTGTTGGTGTTGGTTTTGGTGTATAGTTCTATAAATTGTAACCCACGCACAGAGCCATGTAACCATGACCACCAACAGGATGTAGACCAGCCTTTGAACATGGAGTTCAAAGGCCCAGAGTGTGTCCTCAAATAGTCCCTCCCGAGTCCTCCCCCTACCTTAGCAGCCTGGACAAGCTTGACTTTCTGTAAGACGCTTAGCTCAATGCCACCCTGAGCTAGCGATTTCTTGGCAGTTTGGAGATAGATCTTTCTACATGTGGGGTGTGCCTTTCCTTTTTTCCTAGTTTGACTAGATACCGTAACCCTTGATCTCAAAGAAAAGACTTAAGACATGAAAAAGAGGCTGGAGTCAGAGCTCTGAAGATGTGGGTTACTTTGTGGAAAGAAATGAAATGATATGCCCCTATTAGGCTCCCAAAAAGAAAAGGTACTGCCTCACAGGGTCCTGCCCCCTGGGATCAGAAACTGGGGTTTCCAGGGCAAGCAGAGCTGGGTGGCAGGTAAGTGCTTGTCCTCTGTGCTGGCTCTAGAACCTTCAGCAGCCCTCCTCTACCTTTTCTTCCTGAATTTACATCTTGAACTCCAAGCCCAAAGTCCTGGAGGGCTTTCGTTTGACTTCCTTCCCCACCTCGACATCCTCCATTGAGTCCCCCACGAGGCGAGCAGCAAGAGTCTCTCTGGTGCCTGGAAGCCGGTTCAGAGAGGCGTGCTTGGGTAACAGGGCTTCTCCTTTGATCTCCAAAGACAACAAGTTACCAGCTTCAGGTCTGAAGATTCTGACGGTTTTGTTTACTTTGCAGTATGAAAGCATAAGATCCTAGGATGAAAATATATTATATGAATATATATGAATATATTCTCTGGTATATATTCTCTATATACCAGAGAATAATAGAGTTAGACCCGAGGAGAATAAAAACCTGCTGTCTCCAACTAAAGAAATGTGTGTAGCTTTTCTTTTCCCTTTCTGTACCTCTGTTAAAAGCACAACCATTTACAGCCTCTGTGTCCTAATAAACCTACCTGTGGAATGGCACTCGGGATCTGCTGGTGGAGAAAACAACAGGGTTCATGGCACACAGACCAACAGGGGTCAGCCCTCTTCCTTTCTATGTGCCAAAGGAAAGAAGTGAGGTCTTCTATAAGGGAGGGGGGCGGGAGGAGGGAAGGAAGAAGGGAAGGATATTTGAGCTAAGCCTCCATGATGCTGGTGGGGAAGAGCTTTTTCTGGCAGAGGAAAGAACTAATTGAGAAGGTCCCTAGCTAACAACAGGTCGGTGTGTTGGGGAGCCGAGAGAAAGCTGTTGTGGCTGGTGGTGGGTGTGGCTGGAGGGCAGGCCCTGGGTCATGTGGGGGTATAGACCATGGAAAGAGTTGACTATTTTGTTATCAGAGAAATAGGTTTTAAGCAGAGGGCTGACATGGCCTGATGGGTAAGATTAAAAGATCCTTCTGGTTGCTGTATGGGTAGAGGAGAAAATTTGTAATCAGTGAAAAGACTCAAGGGTTCTCCCAGATAGCCCAGAAGGGCTGGTGGGAAGTGATCAGATTTGAGTAATGTTTTGAAGGCTGAGCCAATGGGACTTGTGACTACGGTTGGTACAGACTGGGTAAGGGAAAGAGATGGATCAAGAATGACTCTTGGGCTTTGGAGCCCACAGGGGAAGGGATGTGTTGTGTGACCAGATAAGGAGGATAGGGAGGTACCAATTTGTGGTGGAGGGGGGAGGTGGGGAATTGCAGCAAATAAAGAGTTGTGTTTGGACTGGCAAAGTGTGAGATGCCTGTAGACATCCAGGCCAACGTGCTAAGGAGTCAATGGGTAGCCGAGTCTGGAGTGTGAGGGAGCAGTCAGACATTCAAGTCAGTCATTTTTAGGAAGTTTGTTTCTTATGGAAACTTCTAGGATTTTAGAAACACTTAGTTGTTTGAGCTGTCTTTGATGCCTGAGACTGATACCTGGAGAACGTGCAGTTTGCTGCAGTTTGCTGGGGTTTCTCCCATCCCTCCCGGGAGGACACATTCACAGGATGAGATGATGAGAACCTCCTGCAGCTCTACTGACTATACCATGTAGCGGTAGCTCTGAATATTTCTCTAGACCAAGGCAGTCATTTTTCTGGATTCTTTCATATACATCCTCTTTATTAAGTCAGATAAAGATCTCACTTCCTGTTTCTGTGTGTTCTCAGTGGAGTGTAGCACAATAATTAAGGTCAAACTAATCATTATGCATATTCACATTTCGAAGTTTCCTGAAAATAACCCAATCATGCACATGCCATGCGTTTGTGTTTGTGTGTCTTATACGCAAAAATTGGGCCCTGTTGTCCCTTAACTATATACAACTAGCCCATTAGGGTACAATCATTGCGGACATCAAGTGGGTGATAGATCGGAAGACTACAAAGAAGAAGGGATGGCTGATGCCCCAGTATGGAAGAAGGAAAAAACCCTATAAACCCAAACCCACTTATTTGTTATGTTTTGGATAAGTTTCCCCATTTGAACTGTCTCTGTCTTAAGTTCTACTTCTCCCTTTTGAAAAAAAGTTTATTTATATATTTAATCTCTGCACCCAATGTGGGGCTCGAACTCATGACCCTGAGATCAAGAGTCACATGCTCTTCTGACTGAGCCAGCCAGGTGCCACCTACTTCTTTTTATTTCAGTTTCCTAAGTCACTTTTGCATCCTCCTAAAAAAGCACATTTCATTTACTTCAACTGGGACATTTACCTTGTTCCTTAAGCTACTGTTCTCTCTAGGTATCCTTGTGTTTCCAATATTGTCCTTATTTTGTTGTGTTAGAAAAGCTAATTGTCTTCAGTTTTTGTGAAGATGATTTCCCCTGACTGACAAGTATTATCTACCTGGAAGGGAGCCTCTGAATATACTGAGCACATCACTGACTCCCCCCTGTGCTCACATGTGTTGCCAGGTCGGTGCCTGGGCTCGGTATCCGGGCTCTGCAAAAGCTGGTAGGTAGGCTTTTCAGATGAGCAGCAGATGCCCAAGCACACTCTGGAAAAAACAATCTTCTGTCTTTTCTGCAGTTTAACAGGGTGTGACCCTGAGCAAATTACTGGATTTCTCTAGGCTTCTGTTCCCTTCTCTGTAAGTGAGGATAATTATAACCCACCTCGGATATTTGAATTAAGTGAAAACCTGGAAAGCGCTGAGCAGAGTAACTGCTACATAAAAGGAACTCAGTGACCTTTAGTTTCCATCCTGATCCCTCTGAGTCTTTATTTCATCAGGCAACAATAATCATGCACTCTGAAAATACGCAAGCCAGTAAGTGGCTATTCATAAAGACAGATCAAGCTTCCAACGCAAGCGAGACTGAAAAGACCAAGGGAAATCAACAGTCAAGACAAAGTAAGAATAGTGCAGTGGTTCTCAAAGTATGGTTCCAGGACCTGCAGCATCAGCATCACTTGGGAGCTTGTGAGATGCAAATTCTCAGAGACACTGTGGACCCAGGCAATCTATGTTTCCACAAGCTCTACAGGTAATTCTGATGCACACTGAGGTTTGAGAACCACTGGTCTAAAGTAAGCTCAACAGATACTGGGTGGGGGATAGTGGTGCGTATTTCAGCATGTGTATGTGTGCACACACACCAACATATGTAGTGTTTGTAACTGCTGAAACTATAATCGAGTACGGTGATATCAACAAAATCCCAGCAAACTGGCAATTACCCATTTTTCTTTGGTACAGTTGTCTAAATAGAGATATACCTAGGATGCTTGTTTTCAATGACTTTGCACTAAAATCACTTTGGTTTTAAAAGTATTGATTCATCAACTTTCTTCTTTTTTTTCCCTAGGAAATTCCACTTACTTGGATGATCATGGACCACCTCCTAGTAAGGTAAGGTCTTTGCCTGTGGCATAAATCCCCCTTTCTTTTCTCAGTCCCTACAGCTACCAACAACCCCAACCAGAGCCCTCCTGGCCCTGAATTGTTGAGAGGAAAATAGTAGATGACAGATGTCAAGTTCATCTTTGACTTAGAGTGAAGAGAAAAACCTATAAACAGTTTTGGCCTGATTTTTAAGGGTCAGAGTATTCCAGTGACATACTAGTGTAGTTCTCCACCACTATTTACTCTCTTATGCTCAATGAACACCAAATGTCAATATACCACAAAACGAGAAAAATAAAGACAGTCTTGGACCACTTAAGATGATGATCTGCAAAGTAGAGTTTTAAGCACCCACTAACCTTAGATGCTGGAAATTTACCCCAAAGTCGACTTTTGAGCTTGTGAGATTTGAAGAAGTACTCTACTATTTGTAAGACTATGAGCTTTGGAATAAAGTTATTTCTGGGTACATCACTGGTTCTGCCACTTTCAGTGTATGACGTTGGACAAATTACTTAATACTACGAGCCTCAGTTTTTTGATGTGCAAAGTGGGATTAGCAGTATGACCCACAGGACATCTAAAAGGATCAAATGCACTGATATATGACATTCAGCACCTGGCGTGCAATAAGCATTAAATAAACAGTGGCTCATGTTAACTACACTGGAGGAACATTTAAATTATTGATGAATGTTCCAGTAGTATTTATCACAGTTGTTTCACTACCACTTGGCCCACTGCATATATATTGGGTGCTTGTGATGCCATGGGCACTGGGCATACAAATAGGAAACAAAACAAGAGCAACAGAACAAAATAGCCCCTATCCTGGAGGAACAAAAGAATATGGAAGTTTGATACCATCCACGGATAAGAACCATGTCTAGCTCCACTTGGCATCCTCACATCCTTGCAGGAGCACATCGTGACTATTCATTAAATTTCACTGAATTGGACCATGGAGTCCAGAGCTGGAATCTGAATTAGGTCTCCTGGCTCCCAGCCCAGGTTCCTTCCACTCGGCCAGTGTTCTCAAACTTGAGCTTGCATCAGGGTTTCCCAGAGACTTATTAAAACACGGATGGCTGGGCCCAGACCCCTGAGTGTCTGATTCTGTAGGTCTGGGGTAGAACCTGAGAACTTGCATTTTTAACAAGCTCCCAAGTGATGCTGATGGTGCTGTTCTCGGGACCATGTTTGCGAACCATTGCTTTAAAGGCCATGAATCTAAAGAAAACAATGTCCCTGGACATTTTCTGTGTTGTTTTTACTGCTGATAGCCTAGAGGGAGTGATATGGCTTATTATATAAAGGCTACTTATTAATGTAATGGTGACTCACTATTGTAACTGTTCTAACAGTGAAAACAAATTTTCTTTGGTCAGTAACCTGCCTGGAAGGGAAGATGAGTGGGGGTGAGGGAGAAGAATGGTGTGGATGGCCTGCTAGGTTCCTGTACCACTAACTGTACTTCTCTCCCAAGTGGGGCCAAGTGAACCCTCCCTACCCTCTCTGCTCTGCAGGAAAAGGGGGTGAGGTTGGCTCTGTGGGACACATCAGCTGTGTCTCTCAATGGCATGTTGGGATATTATTTGGGGTTTCGGGCTTGATAAATGGGGTTTTACCTAGTGAGGAGACCCAGGCCCACTTTATATAAATTTGCCTTCTTGAACTCAGTCCTTGGTGACTGGCTTGGGACCACGTCCTTAATCTGCCTAGGGTCCTTGCTCTTGCTGAGTTGGCCATCCTGCCTGCCTCTTTACTAGTATCCATGGTGCCTGGATTCTGTGTTTGCTGGACTTTCTCCCCTTCCCCCTGTGGAGATTGCCCTGGTTCTGCCTCCCTCTGCCCCTGTGATCTGGTCTTCACCTCTCCATCTTCCCCTACCCCCAGCCAAAGCTCCCTATGACACCCAGAAACAATCAGGTCATATCAGATCATTTTAGATCACTTTCAGACTGAATGTATTTTTATCACTTCTATTCCAAGTTCAAAACTGTCAACCAGCAGAATGAGACAGATTCTTTTAGTATAACTGTATTTTCATTATCTAGGAGTGGGGTAGCAAAAACACTCTTTTGACTTTCTAAGCAGTAGCCAAAATAAGAAGAATACAAAAATGAGTAAAAATAATGTTGGTATGTTAACATCTTTTCATCCATGCTTATTACTTCTGCCAGGGTGGAAATGAATCCCAGAAGTGATAAAGTCAGACTTCCAGATAAAGATCCCTTGAATGTCCCCTGAAGTGGGGTCTTGGTTAGTTTGGTGTATAGACCCCTGGGGTCTCCAGGGACATGGTGGCATCCAGAGAAGATGGACTCACACCTGTGTGGACTCTAGAATGAACCCCCAGCCTGGCACGGGAAAGCAAGACTGAGGGCAGACCCACCGTTTTCGTATTTGTTTAGCATTCAGAAATAACTTTCTGATGCCAAGATTCAAAGAGCTGTGATCTAGATAAAATAAGGTTTTTAAACCCTGAAAATGTACTAAGGTTTACAGGCGAGTTCTCATTTTATTAAAAGTTCATTCCACGAGTTTCACATTCCACAAGTAATAGCCATTTAGAGAATGGGGTGTGTGCCACGCAGCACATAGAGCCCAGGGCTTCCTTCTCGCCAATATTTTCATAAAAAAGAACCAAAATGCCTCTAATTTTTTACTTGTTTTTAAAATCCACTTTAACCTCACAGCTCACCTTCATTTTTAATCTAAGTCATTTTTTAAAGGCAGATGTTAATATTTTCTTTTGTGAACCACTTTTTACTACCACTTTGTGTGCGTGCAGAACGCATGGCTTAAGGTTAGAGCCCTGCTAAGAATGAACACGTAGATCTCTATTGAATGAATTAGAAAGATATTTTTGAGAACAAAAACAGGCATGCAGCATCCAGGATCGTGCAATCACACTTCTTATAAAGTTGTGTGTATAGGATATGTGTGTACAGAGAAAAGCCTGGAAGGATAATAGTGTTTTCTTTGGATGATGAGATTGAAGAGATTTTTACTCTTTCCTTTATACTTTTTTTTTTTTCTGTATATTTTTTGAGTTTGTTAAAGTAATGCCTGCTCAACCTAAAGATCAGGGTGGGAGGGATGGAGGGGGGATGTCCTTAAGAGAAGATTAGGGTTGGGCTAGAAAGCCCGTGGTGGTCGGGCCTCTGCAGTAGCATCTACAGCTTCATGACACCCAAGAGCAGCCTGATCTCTGAAGGTTGAACCCCCAGCCTGGCACTGCTTCACTTCACTTGGACCGTGGATCCCCACACTGCTTCACTTCACTTGGACTGTGGGTCCCCATGCAAGCAGCTGGAGATGGCAATGATAAATTCAGGTGGTAGCAAATAGGATGTAGTAACTGTTTCGCATATGTTGGGTTCCCAAATCTGATAAATAAGGAGAGCTGGTCTAAGCAATTCAAGGAAAATAAAACCACTACCCATAGCTGATGTCTATCCTTTCCGTTGGGGCAAGCACTCTGCTAAGCACTTTGCGTGTGAGTTTAGTCTCAGTAAAGCCCTATGGAAGAGGGAGTCAGTTTTTAAAATTGAAGTAAAGTTGACATACAATATGATATTAGTTTCAGGTGTACAACCTAGTGATTGAAATTTATATACATTATGCAATGCTCACCATGGTAAGTGTAGTTACCTTCTATCACCATGCAAAGTTATGCCAGTATTATTGACTTATATTCTCTTTTGAACTTTACATACCCGTGACTTATTTATTTTATAGTTGGAAGTTTATACCTCTTAATCCCCTTCACTGATTTCACCCCTTTCTCCACCCTCTCCCTCTCGCAACTACTAGTTTATTCTCTGTATTTAGTCTGTTTTTGTTTTGTTTGTTTAATTATTTGGATTTTAGATTCTACATATAAGTGAAATTATATAGTATCTGTCTTTGTCTGACTTATTTCACTTTCACTTAGCATAATACCCTCTACGTCCATCCTGTTGTCACACACAGCAAGATTTCATTCTTTTTTTATGGCTGAGTAATATTCCTGTGTGTGAATATGTGTGTGTGTGTGTGTGTACACATATAGATCATATTTCTTTACCTATATATCTATATATGGACACAGGTTCCTTCCATATCTTGGCTATTGTAAATAATGCTGCAGTGAACATAGGGGTCCATATACCTTTTCAAATTAGTGTTTTTGTTTTCTTTAAGTAAATATCCAGAACTGGAATTGCTGGATCATATGATATTTCTATTTTTAATTTTTTGAGGACCCTACATACTGTTTTCTATAGTGGCTGCACTAATTTACATTCCCACCAACAATGCACAAGGGTTTCCTTATCTCCACATCCTCACCAACACTTGTTATTTCTTGTCTTTTTGGTACTAGTCATTCTGACAGGTGTGAGTGTTATCTTATTGTGGTTTTGATTTGTATTTCCCTGATGATTAGTGGTGTTGAGCATTTTTTCATGTGTCTGATGGCCATCTGTATGTTTTCTTTGGAAAAATGTCTCTTCAAGCCCTCTGTCTATTTTTAAATTGGATTCTTTATTTTTTGGTGTTGAGTTGTATGCATTCTTTATATGCTTTGGATATTTACCCCTTATTAGATATATCATATATATATATATTAGATATATCATTTGTGAATAATATCTTCTCTCATTCACTAAGTTGTCTTTATTTTGTTGGGTTTTTGTTTTTGTTTTTGTTTTGCTGTGCAAAAGGTTTTTAGTTTGTTGTAGTGCCAATCAATTTTTGCTTTTGCTGCCCTTACCTGAAAAGACAGATCCAAAAAAAATACTGCTAATGCTGACACCCAAGAATCTACTGCCTATGTCTTCTTTTAGGAGTCTTATGGTTTCAGGTCTTACCTTTAGGTCTTTAACCCAATCTGAGTTTGTTTTTGTGTATGGTGTCAGAAAGTGATCTACTTTCATTCTTTTGCATGTAGCTGTCCAGTTTTCCCAGCACCATTCTTTTCTCCAACGTGTAATCTTGTCTCCTGCATTGTAGATTAATGG